GTGACTTATTCGTCACTGAATCCCCGCATAAGACGTTTTTTTCCCCTCAAAATATCATCATTTAAACCACTTTTTTTTTCCCTCCTCTTCTGGACACAAGGGTGCTGGGCAGTGATATTAAAGAATTAAAAGCGAATGGGAATAAATGAAGGGCGGTCTGGTAGTGCGGTGCTGGCCCTTTTTAGGAGAAAAAATGTCTTTTAGAGGAGTGTTCACGAGGTTTGGGGTCACGTGTTTACTGCACTTCATGGCACATGAGGAGTTGTCGTGATTCCACCTGCTCCTTCCCTACAGGCATCCTGTACCCGAGTAGGGAAGCTGGGAATTGGCGCCCATGGAAGCGCTTCCCAAGCCACATTATTTCCATGTGCCCAGGCAGGGAGGGCATGGACCCGTGTGGAGCTGAAGGTGCCGCGAGCGGCATCGTTGGCCTAAGAACCGCCCTCGTGCGAGGGACGGGCACCCCCGCAAGGGCCCAGCTGAGCTACCTGCGCACTTTTGTGGCGGGGGCCTCTTTAAGGCAATGACATGGGGCACAGCATCTAAAAATACATCTATCTGAAAGGGAGACATCGTAAAAACGGTGTCCATGGCTCATCCCGCACCAGTTTGATAGGATTTGTGCTTAGGGGAAGCAGGGGCTGCTTCCCACCCTGCTCCCATGGCAGGTGCAGCGCCGGCAGCCGAAACGCAGCGTGCCATTGGGAAACTTTCCATGGAAGGCCGCTCCTGGCTTGGGAGCAGGCATGCGGCACAGCCAGCGGCCTTCCATGGAAAATTTCCCTTCCCGCCCTCTGCGCAGGCAGGGCCCGACGAGAGAGCGCGGAAGAGATCCGGCATCCTGGCAAACCCTGTGTTCTGCCTGCCTGCCCTTATTAGTGCTCTGCTAATTGCACGCTCAAGGGAGCAGAGGTTTAAGCTCTTGTGAAAGCTGCCATTGAGCAGCCTGGTTATTTAAAAAGAAAAACACTGGCTTGTTTCCGTGCCTCCTGCATGGATTATTATGTAGGAAAGCACACTGGTATTTCTTTCTCTATTTTCTTCTTTTTTTTTTCTCTCTATTATTATTATATATGTATATATATTTAGGAAGTAGGTCATATTAATTGATTCTGCTCCTGCTGAGTATTTGGGGCAATGAGACGGGGCAATGAGACAGATAATATCCACTTTGACACAACAAATTAATTATTATGTTTTGTTGTTTGCTCCATTTAATGAAACCCATTGATAAAAGAAAAACATTGGTAACAACCAGAGGGCCATTTGTAACATCTTTGAAGTAATTATATGTATGTACACCTATGGCCTGATTCTCTTGCTCAACAATTTCCTGTTTTGTTTTGTTTTCTTTTACATTTATCGAAGACACGCACTATTTTATTTGCAGTCACTGTGTCTAGATTCTTTTCTGTGCCATTACGATAACTGCACTGGTTTCACAGTGCAAATTTATGAGTGTCGTGGGTGCAAAAGACCCTACTGTCTCAAGGGCTCAAGCCCTACTGTCCCTCAAGATTTTGTTCGTAGCCAGGGAAGCACAGCAAATGACAGACTCGCCAACATCTGTCATGTTGCTAAAACAGAAAAAAACCCCAAGCCTTGCAGCCACTCAGCAAAACCTAGAGGCATTGCCCTTGGGAGCCGTCAGTCTGGGAATGATACTGTGTGTTACCATCTTCACCTTAAATGTTTCATCTGGCTGCTATTGCAACTGCTATCACACCTCAATATCGTACCAATATCATACCTCAAACAAGCTCTTATAATTTATTTTCAGCATTCTTTCTAAATGAACATAACATATATTTGCTTTCTTAGATGCTAGATAACAAATCTGACTTATTTTTATGATAGATGTTCCTATATTTTGTCATTTCTGCCCAATGTGAATTCGCTTCTCAGAGGCCAAGTATCTCCTGTATCCAGTCATGGTAATCCAAAAATGTAAAACAATGAATTCTATAGATCAAATTCTGAAGATGAACTCTTAAAGGGAGGTCTGTAACAACAGCCAGACATTTGATTTATGAGTGCCTTATAATTCCAGAAATCTTTATAGCAGCTTTAAAAATATAAACTTTTGCAGATTAAAACAAAGCAGCCCCCGAGCCGATGTTCTTTAAGTGGTACTTTCCCAATGTCAGAAACCATCCATTTTAGCCCTGCTTCCGTGTTATTTATAAACAATAGAGATAAAGAGAAATTTAATCTTTAGATGATAAAGCTATCTCTAATAGTAGTGGCAATATGCCTTGAAAACAACAAAGATGACTATTTCATCAGACATATTTCCATGTTATGGAATACACAAATATTTGAATGCTCAAAACTGCATAAACTCTAGCTTCTATATTCAGACCATGGTGACACTTCCTACGTTATAAGTATGCTGTATATTCTTTATCCTTACAAACTGTAAAGATGTAGGCAGAGAAAGGGAGGTAGAGTTGTTACAGTGCAAACAAGAGCTGTGGGAGATGTTGCTTCAGTTTCTGCCCTGCCTTAGTTATTTTACCTAGTCGTGAACAAGTCACCAGAGTCCAGGGTCTCATCTCATGGGGACATGGTAAATGACAACAATTTCATTCTTTCTCCTACCTGTAATACAGAGTGAGTAGCAGAGATGCTGGGATGCTGGGTATATTGAAGAGCTAAAGATGCCCAAAGTGTGTGATGTGATACATACAGGCCAAACCCTGTATGGATAGATATATAGCTAGTTTTCTTCAACAGTAAATATATATGAAATAGGAAAACAAAAGTCATTAAATACAAACTGTTTATAACATTAGGATTGAATACTGCTAATGTATAATTGAATGCGACATAAAGCCATATTTTCTATTTCAAGTTATTTATTTTTGTCATCATAAAAAGAAAAAAAAATATACCATAAAACTATTAGCAAAGAGGATTTTTTAAGTTGTAAATTGATAGCACCTCAGTACAATACTTAACTTTGGTTATAGTGGAATTTAGAAATCAAGCACCAACAAAATGCATTGCCATGAATTATTAGTATCATAGCAGATAGTTTTCTTTGAGGTTTTCTGTCAGTGAGGAACCTTTGCCAGGATCTGCAGTCTTGAAACAATCCAAAAAAATTATATGAGCTGTAGACAACATGACTTATGCTATGTATCCTATTATAAATGCAGTACTTCATTTGCTCAAAAAAAATCTACTCAAAATTTTATTTTTACCTTTCTCTCCTATTCCCTGTGCCACAAATTGTATACAACATTAGAACTTTTTTAATCCTGATGATTCTTCTTTTGTAATAGTTGTGTACCAATTGTGCATATCATTATTTGTAAGAGTAGGCATTGATATATCTTATAAGATATTATATATAGGCATTTAAGAGATCATATAGAGTAATTTCCTGTCAGTAAATAAGGTTGTCCTGAATGGTGAGAGGGACATTATTCCACATTCAGTACAAAAGTGGTCTCAGTCTGTTTGATCAGCTAAATAGCATTTTACTCAGGTTCAGTCTTCATATCTTTCTCTGGTATAAAGATTCCATGCAGGTCCAGGTGCATTTCTACATTTACTGTGGCTCGGCCCAATTCTTTGAACGTTTTAGCATCCAAAGCAAGTAGGAAGGGAGCTTTGTTTGGATCAGACATCACAATGCAGGTCAAAACAACACCTGTGTCATATAAATGAAGAATTAGAAGGATATACAAGGTAAATCAAGCAGAGAAGATAACTGTATCTGGAAGAAAACCTCTTGTTTCCTAAGAGTTTTAGGATGCAAACTCAAAGCGCTACTAGATGAAGTCTAACTGAGTGCAAAAGAAGGAATAAGTGGTTCTTTTCTGTGCCCTTTTCTGGTCTGTCTGCCGTATATTAGGAAGGCCAGAAGTAACGAAACCCTGAGCTGTGTCCCTGGCATTAAAAAAAGCCGTGAAGCCTGGGGCACATCCCTTCAGCTATTGCAGGGAGTAGCCCTGGAACAGAAGTGGATGGAGACGACCGGGATGCTTCCAGTTCTGCTTCGTGTTCTGATCTGCCTTCCTAAGGTCCCAGCTGCTCTAAGCTCTTGATAAATACGAGCCTCAGGTGGCTCTCTGGAGTGTCCTGAACAGCGTTGGGTTTATAGTTTATGGCTGTCTTGGGAGTTTACTCAAGCTGATTTTGGTTTACTCATGCATTGCCTTTCGGCTGCAGGAGTAAAATGGTTTGCACTAATTTACATCTTTCTGTTGAAACAGCAATCACTGAACCAACTTTCTTGTGATATCTGAAAACAACAAAGCTTTTAAGATATAATGTAAAATTAAATGTAGCCAAATGTAGACAACTTTTGGAATGCTGTCAGGTTTTTTACCATCATCCTCTTCTTTTGCATCAGGTCTGGGAACAAAAATGGGCTCAGATGGCCAGCAGTGGTCTTCTGTCCAGTGAAGTGTTTCCTTTGTCTGGACATTAAATTTTACAATCTAAATTATTGTGACAAAAAAAAAAAAAAAAAAGGAAAAAATACAGTCAGAAAACCAGTTAGTGCTTTATTCCAAAGATACAACAGGAATGGAGTGTTTGCATGGGGGACCAATGCTAGGAGACTAAAGCAATGGGTCAAGATTTCTACACAGATACTGGTATTAACAGAAGGAGCAGAGTACAGACTTTGTTCTCATTAATGGGCCAAACCACTTTTTTGGTGGGAGCCAAGACATTTTCAATTAGGTTCTGTTATGGCCTTCTCTCTGCCCATCCAGATGCCGTTTTATTCTTTTCCCATTTGTACTTTAATCTGAAGAACATTTTCATACAAAAATGAAAGTATTGAATTTCAACCCATGGAAAAATTTGAGTTTTCTTCTCTAACCAAGACAACAGCCATTTACCTGATAGCCTTTGTCATCAGACATGGTTGTTGCTATCTTTGCATTCATAAAAGATCCTCTGATGTGAAACAAAAACTTTCAATACCAATTTTGATTATATTTAAGTCAAGCTGGGATTATCTGTACTGGAAATCACAAACTTGCTGATTTGCTTGAGCTACTGTCAGATATGCTGCAATAAATTTTCTTGCATCATGTAGAAATCCAACTTTATTTCATCATCAGTTGTGATAATTATATACAAGAACCAACAGTGAACTCAAATTGCTCTGCCTTATAATCACTTCTGATGGAACAATAATTATAGAGTGACTTTGTCTCTACAACACTCTTACCTTCAATTAAAAATACTTTGCATCTTAATCTATTTGTACTCTAGGCTGTCTCCTGAAAAGTTGGCATCATTCATACAAAAGTGATTATAATGTTCCAGATTTTAAGTTAATAAAATGAAGAAATATTGTTTTATACTGGTGGATAGTTTGGCCTACTGAGACTGTTTAGTTTGGCCCAGTGAGGCTGTTTTTAGTCATGCAGTTAAGCTAACAGTTGTGTTCAGCTATATTTATGAACACAGTATTTAACTGTACTGTGGTCTTTTAGAAGCTTTAATTTGTTAAAAAAGAGAAGAGAGAAAGAAAAATGTTGCTTCTGGTTCAGTTGTATTCAGAGGACAACCAAGATTTGGCAATTTCATTTCTGGCCTCAGAACCACATGATCTTGATTTTGCATATATTTCTGCAGATTGGGATGTATTTTGGACCCAACTGATAAAGCAGGGCCTACTATAACAGCTTAAATTTGATTTGTGTTCTATAAACACAATTCCTGGCTTTACAAATGTTAAATATACCTTTGTAGGAACTGGAGACCACTGGACTCCCGTTGCAAAAACATATCTATATTTCTTGCCATTATAGTCATAGTTGATGCGAGGCAGCTCTATCCCTGGATGAAATAAAACTCAAGACTTAGAAAAACAAGAGAAAAAGAGATTACCTGAAGTTACTCTTTATAGGTAGATTTGCAAGCTATATTAATAGCTGTAAGATCGAACTTGGGACCCTACACCAACATAAAACAGACTTCAGAAATTTCAACAATTGCACCTTTGATAAGTATCTGAGAGATGCATTCCTTGGACTTCATTCATTCAAGATTACCAAGACATACAAACCTCTGAAATATATATATTTTTTTGCCCGAGATCCTTTGCAATTTGTCCTCCTTTTGGCTTTTCAGGTCATTGGTAAGAATAGAGAGATATCAACAATTTGCAGGGTTAGGATGACATTTTAATCTTTTCAAATATGTATTTTTCTAGAACTGGGGTCCCATTATCAATCTCAGTAAGAATAATTCTTTTATGCCCCAATTTACAACCTTGACTCCTGAATTCTGCCTGCGAATTGTTTCTGAACTACTGTGCAGATCCAGGGTCTTATATCCTTGGAGTCACTCACTGGAGGAAAGTAAGGAAGAGAAAAACATCGCTATCTACACAAAACATGTTATTTAAAAGTTTTGTTTCTTTTAGTTTTAAAAAGATCTTTCATATGCCAACGGCTATTAGACAATATTAGAAAGCACCTATGTGGAAGAGAATATATTTGGGATTTGTTTACTGAATATCTCACCTTCACATAATATTTCAGGTTGGCAATAGATGCTGCCATCTTTTTCTTTTATAGCAGTTGCAGTAGATGGAAGTGTGACTAAATTAGAACCCACTTCTGCATCCTGAAAAAAAGACATATGCTGAAAACTTACCATGTTTCTAAAAATATTCTTCCAGATTAGATTTTTCATGAGATTTTATATTAATTTATACATTCTTTTTGTGATGAAACAAATAATGCCATTACAAGAAGTTGTTCCTCATTGGCATTTATGCTGTAAGATTAGACTCTGGCCATTTCACTAGCAATCTTTGTATACTCATATGATTTTAATAGAGCATAGCTTAACCTTTTTGAATCACAGTGAGTGATTCACTCAATCCTTATAAATGGCTTTTGTGGACACAGCTGAAAAACACAGTAAATGGATTCCAGAGTTTGTGAATTTAATTTAGGAAGATGCGTTTAAAAGAGTCGAGTCAGATATCAAATGCTTACTAAAAGTCATCAGAAGTTACATTGTTGCACCTGATATAGATCA